GCCCCCTCCCCAGTGTTTCAGGTGCGCCGCCGACCTGCAGCCGGTGCTGGAGCTGGACCTGCGCGGCTGCCGCGTCACCTCCAAGGACAAGCGAGGCAAGAAGATGCCSCACGCCCTGAAGGTGACGGGGACGGCCGGAGAGGTGCTGGTCATCGGCTTCCAGAGCCGGCAGCAGGCTGAGGACTGGAGGAAGGTTTGGAGGTGTCGCAGCCGGGCAGGAGAGGGGCGGGCAGGGGGGAAATGGGGGCTCAGCCCTGCTCCGGTGCTGCCGGCGGGGCTGGGGGTGCTCCTGTCTGTCCCCAGTTGCCATGCCGGGGTTTTGTGGAGCCCCGTTCGATGGGGAGAGCAGGAGCCCGGGGTGCAGCGCTGCCCGTTTTCCCCCGGCAGGTGATCGAGGAGGTGAGCAGCGATGCTCCGAGCGGGCTGGCAGCGCTCAGCGCYCCAGGGTCACCCTCCTCGAGGCTCRGCAGGGTGAGTTTGTCCCCCGGGARGGGTCGGGAACGCACCCCAGTCCCATTCCCTGGTCCCTTCTGGGGAAAGTTTCCTTGGGGAGGGGGTCGGGGTGCAGAGATTGGGGCTCTCCGGACCCCCACCCTCACCCTGCCCCATCCCAGCTCGGCCCGGAGGAAGAGCAGGAGCAGAGGGATCGCTCCCGGCACAGCCCTGCCCGCAGCCCGCGACCCGGAGAGGATTCCAAAGGAGGTGGGGACGCGTGGGGAGGGGGCGATGGGGGTCCCGCCCCCCGCTCCGGGTCTGACCGGGCGTTCCGCAGGGTTCCTGGCGGTTCGGCTGCGCGGCCGCTGGCAGCGCCTGTGGTGCGCGGTCCGGCACGGAGCCCTGCGAATGTTCSCGGAGCCCGGCGCTGCGCAGCGCCCCGTGTGCGCCCTGCGCCTGGACGGCTGCGATGTGTCCCCGGGGGCGGCAGCGGGCTCACCCCAAAACCTCCGGATCCGCATCGCCCAGCGCGGCCGGGAGCTCGCCCTGCTGCAGGTGAGTGATCGCTGGGGCACCGCGGTGTCCGTTCTGGGGATCCTGAGCCTGGACTGTGCCCTGAACCCGGACCCTGCCCCGGGTGGCACCCCTGAGGCTCGACTCTTTCCCGGAGGGCATCCCCTGAGCGCAGACCCTGCCCTGGGGGCACCGCCCGAAACCGGACCCTGTCCGGGGAGGTTCCCCCATGAGCCCGGACCTTGCCCTGAGCTCGGACCCTGCCCTGAGGGGCACCCCCTGAACCCGAACCCTGCCCTGGGGGGCACCCCCTGAACCCCAACTCTGCCCCTGAACCCGAACCCTGTCCCACTCCAGACCCGCTCGGACGAGGAGAGGGAAGCCTGGCTGAAGACCCTGCAGGCCAGGGGAGGAGAGGAGGTGAAGAAGAGTCCCCCGCCCAGGCCCCCCCGGCCGAGCAGCCGCCCTGCTGCCGGGTAAGGATTTGGGTCATTCCGGCCCTCCCGCCCCTCTGTGGGATGCGGGATAAGGATTTGAGCCATTCCGGCCCTCCCGCCCCGCTCTGGGATGCGGGGTAAGGATTTGGGCCATTCCGGSCCTCCCGCCCCGCTGTGGGATGCGGGGTAAGGATTTGGGCCATTCCGTCCCTCCTGTCCCGATGTGGGGTGCGGGATAAGGATTTGAGCCATTCCGACCCTCCCGCCCCTCTGTGGGATGCGGGGTAAGGATTTGGGCCATTCCGTCCCTCCTGCCCCGATGTGGGATGCGGGGTAAGGATTTGGGYCATTCCGGCCCTCCCGCCCCGCTCTGGGATGCGGGAAGTGACGGGATCCCCCCGTACCTGCAGGGGGCTGCTCCTGCGCCGTGTCCCGACCCCCAACACCTACATGGACGACCCCTTCGGGCAGCCCCCGCCAGCTGAGACCCCCAAGCATCTCTACTCCAACGCGGAGMGGCTGCAGCAGCTGGTAACCTCTGCTGGGGCTCCTCGCCCCCCACTCGCCACCCCCGGGGTGGGGGCGACCCCCTCGCACTGTCCCCTTGCCCACGGGAATTCTTTCCTCAGCAGCAGAGCCTGGACCGGGCAGGRCAAGGGCAGCGCAGGAGACCCGTGTCGGCCCTGCCCACCTGTGCCAGCAGCGGTGCCCGCCCCTCGCAGGCAGGTGAGGGGGGCTGCGTGTTTTTGGGGTGCAGAAAAGTGGGGGGTCCCCACTTTCCCCAGCTCCACGCTGCCGTGCCCACGAGAGAGATGCTGGGCCAGGATTTCCCTTCCCGATCCTTCCCGAGCCCTCTCCCCTTCCCTTCCTCCCGACCCTCCCTCCTCCTCCCTTTCCCCGCAGCACCACCGGCAGCTCCCCGTGCCAGACCCGCCAGCGCACAGCTACCAAAGGACAGCCCCAACCTCCAGAGCAGGGATTTGTCCCGCTCCCAGCACACCCTGACGCTGCCGGAGAGGAAGGGGACACGGGACGGGCTGGATGGCCTCATCGGTAGGACCACGGGTGCCGGACACTGCCCGGTGCTGTCCGGAGGGGTTGAGGGGTGCCCGGCCTTGGCAGCGCTCCTGCTGTGCTTGCAGGGAAAAGAGCTTTCCCCAAACTGGAGGAGAAGGTGGGGCAGCTGGAGAGAGCCTGCCGTGTGAAGGGCAGGCTGAAAGCCGGCTCCGAGATGAACCTGCTGGCCCTCGGCAAGTCACTGAAGGGCCACATCGCCGCCACCGCCAGCTCGGCYGGCTCCGAGGTGGGGGACACCGGAGAGGGTGGGAAATACCCKCACAGAGAGGTTTGGAGGGCGGGCATCGCTCCTTCTCCGCTGTTTTTCCCTTCAGGGATCGTTCCTCAGGCCGCTGCTGAAGAGAACGAGCTCCGCGAGGAGCGCCCTGCGGCCGCCCCCATCCCCCGTCATCGTGGAGAGGGGAAACGTGATGCAGAAAACAAAGGTGATTCCGAGATCTGGGGGTTTGGGATGGGTCAAGGCGATCCCATGACCCAGGAAAATAAAAAAAAAAACAAAGGTAACTTCGGGATCTGGGGGGTTGGGTCAGGGCGATCCCATGGGCCAGGAAAATAAAAAAAACAAAGGTAACCCCGGGATCCGAGGGGGTGGGAGGGGTCAAGGCGATCCCATGGCCCAGGAAAATAAAAAAAAACCCCAAAGGTAACTCCGGGATCCGGGGGGATAGGATGGGTCCAGGCGATCCTATGGTCCAGGAAAATAAAAAAAAACCAAAGGTAACTCCGGGATCTGGTGGGGTGGGATGGGTCAGGGCGATCCCATGACCCAGGAAAATAAAAAACCAAAGGTAACTCCGGGATCCGCGGGGATAAGATGGGTCCAGGCGACCCCATGGCCCAAGGAAATGCAGAAAACAAAGGTAACTTCAGGATCCGGGGGGATAGGATGGGTCAAGGTGATCCCATGGCCCAGGAAAACAAAAAAAAAAACAAAGGTAACCCCGGGATCCGTGGGGGTGGGATGGGTCAAGGCGATCCCGTGGCCCAGGAAATGCAGAAAACAAATTAACTCCGGGATCCGGGGGGATAGGATGGGTCAAGGCGATCCTATGGTCCAGGAAAATAAAAAAAAACAAAGGTAACTCCAGGATCTGGTGGGGATAAGATGGGTCAAGGCGATCCCATGGCCCTGGGAAATGAGGGATTGACCCCTCCCCGTTTTTCCAGGAGTGGGAGATGAAATCTGCGATGTAACCGGAGAAGGAGTCTCCC